TATGGTAATTCCTTTTGAGTTGTCAAGAAGTGCCCTAATTCTCCCTTCAGTTTTATTAAATCTTTTGATGATCTCATAGAAGACACAATTCATCTCTTAGTAAGGTTCTTATTTCTTCCATTTCTGTATCATTCTTATAGCTTTTATCTCTGCTAAAATTTCTCATTGTGTCTTGCATAATGACTATCTTTTCTGTAGTAATTATAATTATAAATTCTCTTCCTGACGATTCTAAAATTGTTTCGTATACAAATCTAGTTTTATTGAATTTTATTTGGCTTTTCATTTGGTTGTTTTATTACTTTGACTTTTTTTGTTGTTGAAAGCATATAACCTAAATAGTACAGTGACTATACATTTATGTTTAAAAATGGGCTTGCCTTTCTTTCTGTTAGATCTTCAGTCTGACATGTATTTGAGGTATTTGAAAATAACATTGAATTTCTTATATAGCAGAGAATATATCTAAGCCCAAGCTTTTTGGCTTGTCTGGACCAGTTTAAGAGGAATTATCTCGGGCTTTATGTAAAATTATAATATAGTCTATATTATATGAAAATAAAGTTTTATTATGCATATATATGGCAAAGCTTTCCTTTTTTAGTGTTTAATTTATTATGAAATATATGAGTTCCAATTTAATAGTTAAGTAAGAAAACTTTTTACATACTTAATAACAATACTTAACCACTTAATAATAAAGAGCCATCTTCACAGACATACACACACAGGTAGGTTGAAATAATATTATCAGTAATCCCTGCTTTTTACTTGCCAAATTGCACAAGCTCATGTGTCTGCAACCTGTGTTGGATAAATGCAGGTTTTGATCAGTAGAGTTTAGCACTGCCCCGCACTCTCCATTAGTAACATTCCACTGTTGTCCATGAGTACACACACAGCAGTATTATGGAAAAGGGTTGCTAAAAGATCACCTAATCATATTAAAAGATTATGATCTTCTTGGTCCACATTGCTAGCTATTCAGGGCCCTACCCTATAAGTTGCATATACCTTTTTTGTATGTTTTAAGTTATTAACTTTTTGACCATACACTATATTATTTTTATAACGTGTTATTTGTGATTACCTTTTTGGGGTTCTTATTTTGCAATGTATTCTCTCATTTATACTTTCTAAGACGTGGATTATGAACTGAATTTTTAACCATTTAATTGTGTAGAAATTTAAGCAAAAATAATTAATATTTGGATAAACACCACAGGTTTTATCCAGTGATAAAAATTGAACTTGATTCTCCAGACCTACCCTGATTTTATAGTTTATTCCTGTTACTCTGTTTGCATGCATTATTTACTGAAAAATTATTGTGTATCAATTATATTTAAGGTTGAGTGGCAAATGCTGTAGAAGAATTTCATGAGTAATACATGATTTTTTTTTTTTTTGTATCATAATGTTCTGATATCCCGAGAAATGACAGAAGAATATCCAAGCTCACTAAGCAATTGGAATGGTAGAAATACAGAGTAATTGCCTTTATTTATTAATGAGATGCAGTTGACTTTTTTTTTTCTTGGTACCAGGGATTGAGCTTAAGACCTTGCGCTTACCAAACAGGCACTTACACCACTGAGTTAAATCCCCAGCCCCAGTTGGCTTATTTTAAAGAAACCTTTGTAGTTGTTTTGAAGGATTCACTATATTTGTAAATGATCCAAGAGGAATCATTATTGTTTTAATTTTCAAGAGTATATATAATCAGAATTGATATGTGCCACAGTCAAAAAGACATTGCATAAATATAAGTTGCATCATGTACTGTATGAGGATAAAATTAAATGTATGAAATTCATAATTGATGTAATAAAAACTGAGCAAAAACAGAGAAAAAGGAACATTGTTCCCAAGCCTTAGACCATACCTATAAAACGCTGAAAAAGAAAAAAAAACACTTGACACTAGAGAAAAAGAAAAATAACTAGATAATACTGAGGTGGTTAGTATATTAGGGAAATCAGAGTAATTAGGCAGTGCTGTCCGGTTGCATTTTCTGTCATGATAAAAATATTCTATATATGTACTGTCCAATAAGTAAATAATAGCCATATGTAGCTTTTGAGTAACGGAAATTGTATTAGTGGACTGAGCATGAGAATTTTTTAATTTACATGACAAGTGGTTATCATGTTGGACAGCACAGTCTAGGCTGTACTGAAGCTGAAGAAAAACAGCAGTATAAGGTGGAGACTTAGTATTAAAGCACACAAAATCACCGTGTGTGTGGTAGTTATGTAGTGGAGGAAGAGAACAAAATGTGAGGAAAGCACAAAGAGGAAGCACCATTTGCTGAACATGGTAGTCTTGGTAATGAAATTTCGTTGTTGCTCATGCTTGGAATATATTCTGTAAAGTAAGAGTTACCTATATTTTGTTGAAGCTACAGAAGGAGGGCATGATGAGCCACTTAAACACATGCTCAAAGCCCACACTTGTTCCATCATGTATACTACCAGGTTTCTGAGAAAGAGAGAGAGGCAGAGAGAGAGAGACAGACAGAGACAGAGAGAGAGAGAGAGAGAGAGACCAGCCGACCAAGCAGGCATGGTGATGCACACCTGTATCTCCAACATACTCAGAGGCTGAGGCAAAAAGGATCACAATTTCAAACATGGACTGGGCAGTTTAGTAACATAGCAAGAACCTGTCTTTAAAATAAATGAATAAGACAAAAGAGTAGTAGTTGAATTTGGAAAAGGGCCAAAGTAACAGTTTTCAAGAATGTTTTAAATAATGCTTATCTTTTTATCCTGTACACTAAAAAGATGTCTTTAAAAGTGTGTATTAATACATGAAAATTGTATATGCTCATTTTGATTGTCTTTTATGATTGACTGATTCTTGTCCATTTCCTTATGGTCTGGATTATCTTTGTTTGTATATAATTCATTGTTCTTTAAGATACTTTTTGCAAATAATTTGAAGCTCAGTAAGAAGTTACCTTCCTCCTAGAATATTTGCTTTTGCTTTTGGCTGGTAACTATTGAAAATAGTTACTCAAAAGCTACATATGGCTCTTATTAACTTTAGTTTAATGCTTTGGACTACATAAAAATTGTGAAATTGGGTCATGTTTCACTGGTGTTAAGGGCCAGCTTGCTTTTGCCAGTTACGTGTGTAGAACACTGACTTCTTTGCTCACTCACTTTTCTCGACTCACGTGCTCTTTTCAGCTTGGCTAGATAATATCCTACTTTCTTTACCTTCAAGAAATCCTTATCTCTTGTGATTTGTTTAATAATAATCATAGAGAGTGTTGGTTTACTATGAAACCAGTTTCTAAGAATTTTTCCACTGTATTTAGAAACAGGAGTCTCATTTCTAATTTTATAGAAAAATGCTTTGCTCATAATGTTCACATATATCATGGTACAATCTTTGTATTAGGTGTTCTTTATTGTTTTATTTCATATTTCTTGTATTGATTTTTTGCAAAACAATAAATTTCTTTTTGGTCACATTGATAAAATTTTTATTGTCACTCTTCATTAATGATATTACAAGCTGGGTTAGTGGGCATCTCAATTTCCAGGTATTGCGGGGCTAAGCTTGAGCAGTTTTCTCCTGCACCTACTCATGAACTTCTTTGTATTCTGCCATCCTTCTTTGCCATCCAGAGCTTCCATCTAGCACCATATATCCTAAGTTCTTTTTTTTTTTTTAATCTTTCATGTTCTTTCTATTTTTGTTTTCAGAATGGGTAGAGGACATAGTCATTTTTTTTTTCCTGTTGATTTGAATAAACATCCTGTCTCATTCCTCTGGATAGAACTTCTATACGTAGTGTGGCCTCCAAAAAATTTAAGTCTTAAAACTCAGGTCTCTGGCAATTTCTAAACTTCCTAATATATACTAATTTCCATCATCTTTTTTTAGTACCATTATTTTTATCTCTGTGTTTAAAAAATTCTGTAGATTTATTTATAAATTAGTGCCATTTTTCTAGTAGCACCTCATTTCTCTCTAAGTTTTGAATTAGTTGCTCCAAAAGTTCTCCTCTCCATTTAGTTATTTCTATGAATACGGAGATGTTTCTTTTACTTGTATAGTGTTTCACTACAAAAGTAATTAAATACTGGAGTGAAAAACTATAATTATTTTAATTCTAATAAATGTTCTGTTAAAAGATATTATGGACAACACAAAAAATGAGCACATGAATGTTTATTAAAGCTTTACTCATAATTGAGAAAAGATTTGCAGTAGCCACGATGTTCTTCAGTTGGGAAATGGATACATATGGTACAATCAATATTATGCAGCAGTAAAAATAAATGAACTGTCAAGCCATAAAGAGACATATATGAAGGAACCTGAAAGGCAAATTGCTAAGTGAATGAAGCCAGTGAGGAAATCTACATACATTATGATTCTAAATGTATGACATTCTGGAAAAGGCAAACTTATAAAGACCATAAAAAGATCAGTTATTGCCGGAGGTGAGGAGAGAGGAGGAAGGAATTGATGGAATACAGAATTTATAGTAAAACTAATCTAATACTGTAATGGTGAGCATATGGTATTATACGTTTGTCAAAATATACAAAACTCTACGGCACAAACAGTAAACCCTAAAGTAGGATCTTTAATTAATAGTAATTAGTATTGGTTGATCATTTATAAAATATAATACAAGATATCAGATACAAGATGTTAAAAGAGGAAAACTAAGGAATGTTGGGGACTGGCAGGAGATAGTATATGAGAATTTACCTTTCTTTGCTTCCTTGTGTAAGCCTAAAACTTATTCTGAAAACTAAAGTCAATGTAAAAAAAATTGATTCTTAATAAAATGTTCATAAATATTGGCTAAACTAATCAAAATAATTTTACAGTCTGACAATGTAATAAAACAGTTTTGAATATGTATGTTTCTTTTTCATTGTTACTGATTTAGGAATTTTCTGCTTTTTTAAGAATACTAGTGGTCATTTTTGTTCTTGTCTCTTTTTTCTTTGGTTTTTGACTTTGCCACTTAGGTGTACTTGCGCTGTCTTGGTACCCACCTGATTCAAGTGATGAGAATGGAGAACCTACTGATAACTTGGTACCAACTATTTTGGATAAGGCTCATAAATACAATCTAAAGGTATTAAATTTATTTTCAACCTATATATAATTTAACTCTTTGCAATAAGTGTATAGTAATAACAATTTTTGAATGATCATTTAATTATGAAAAAATGACAAAATATATTTCATGAAGAAAATTTCTAGTCTGTGCTTTAAACTTTATACAAATTATGTTTTAGAGAGCTCTTATTCTTTCTAACCATTTGATATAAATTAATCTATTATTTATTTCAGTAGAAAAGGTGTTGAAAGTTTCTTTTGTAAAGATAATGTAGAAATTAATGAAGATTTATATCTAAATAGCTTAGATGTCAAAGACCTGCTTTAAATTATTAATCATATGACTTATACATCTTTATAAAGTAGTTAAAACCTAGACCACTACTTAGGCAGTTTTTAAAATCTGGTTTTCATTTAAACCATCTGTATAATATATTTATATACACTTGTGTACATTTAGAATATAGGTAAAATTCTAAAGACAGTTATAAAGATCAAGTTTATTCTACTCATTTATTAGAGTATATTACAAATGAAGCAAGATAAGGTACAGTGTAAGATTTTATTGATTTTTTAGATAGTTCATGGAAACAAACAGGATTGATGATTAAATAGTTTCAAATAGTACGACAAAAGAAATTTTATACTGCCTAATGAAAGTAAGCATTGTTTTTAAAATCCACGGATACTTTTTAAAAATTGATTATGTGTAGGTAACAACATTATTCTTAATAAATTCATAAAATTATAGTCAGTCTACATTATATGACTTTCAATACTACTGAAAGTCATAAAAACAAAACTACTTAAAAAGTGTAAAACTGTTCAAAACTTAAATTATATCATAATTAGAAATAACACTTTTTTTAAAGAAAAAAACTTAAAAATGATACAAAAATAAATAGCACTGAAATTGTATTATTGATACCAATGGGACATTCATCATAAAGAACAAGGAATTGGTAAATATGAAGAACAAAAATAATTAAAACTGGATTAAATTGCAGATGCCTGTAATTCCTTTTACTCTGGAGGCTGAGTTAGGAGGATTATGAGGCCAGCCTATTGAAGATAGCAAGACCCAGTATTAAAGAAAAACAAAAAACTAAAACAACAACAATGAAAAGACCACTGTATATAAGTTGAATGATCTGAGGGAAAGAAATTCCATTATAGAATTTTCAGTCTTCTTTTTTAACCTAATCTTGCAAATGACATGTTATCACTTCTGCCCCATCCATTGATTTATCTGCTGACAAACCAGCCCTAGCAAAATATGGGAGAGAAATGCATAGATTGTGAAAACCAAGAGGTAGGGATCAGTGGGGGCTATCCTGGAGATGCAGTAACAGAAATCCTTTTAATTAATTCGATAAAACAGTGCCATTCTTTATTCAGAGCTAAGTAATAACAAGAAAGAGACTTTATAGTCATCTCGCTAATGAAAATACATACAGGATACCTAAAGAAAATGTGGATAAGATTATTTATTGATCTAAGAATGGTTCCAAGAGTAAGACATTTAAATCTCTATATCTGAATTTTCCTCTATTCAAATGTGTCTCCACCACTTGGATTTATATGTAACTCTCATGCCTTAGTTCCTGAGTTTTTGAAATAGAAATGATAACAGATTCTACCTAATATAGTGGCATTAAAGATTACATAAAGTAATATGTGCAAATAATTTTAAGATCAATATCTGGCATGGAGTAAGCACCATGTAAGTGTTAAGTAAATAAATTTTTGTTGACTTTATAAAAGCTTAGGCATCTTATTGGTATTATAAATTTGAGCAGTAATACGAACTAGTAATAACACACTTAAGCTCTTGAATCAATAAACTTTAACTCAATAAAAAATATATTTTATAGATTATACTATACAACATTACTCTTGGAAAAAGTGGTGGTATCAGTCTTTTGACTAAGACCAATTAAGAGTGACATCTCAAATCAGTATTATTTTGTACTATTATGGATACTTAAAATAATTTGACTAAAAATATTGAAAAGTTTTATATAATGATCATTCTTTGCAAATGATATGTACAAAAACCCAAAAAAAATTTCCTAAAAGCTGTTATGAAGAATGAATTCAGTAAAATGGTTGGAATAAAAAGAAATGCAATTCAGGAGAGTACCTTAAATAAGAGACAGAATGAGGAAAAATACATTGAAAATAAAATCAGTGGACGTACAGAGAATCCTCAATGGATTATTGGAGCAAATGGAATATGTGCATGAAAACAGAAACATGAACTTGATGACTAGATTCAAAGTTGCAGAAATGGCCATTCTCTCAAACATTTGCTTTTCTTTTATTTAATATAATTTATTGATTTCATATAATGCCACTTAAAATTTTAGTGAGAGTGTGAATACTAAATTTGGCAAGATAATCCTGAAGCCTATAAATATATAGGCATAAATTTTAAAAATTTATTAATAAAGGGAAAGCATGTTTTTCCAGATAATGAAAAGTGTAAGGTGTAGAAATTAGTGGATAGCATTAGCATCTGTGAAGAAATCAGTGTCATATAATATAATTGAGCCCAGAGATAAGGCACTTCATATTGAAATCTAAAATGTAATTCAAGAGTGATTTATAATTCGGTATAAAAGTGTAAAATGAATATATTCTTCATCTTATCCTCTTGGTACTGTTTTGTTTTATTTGTGCGTTATTTACTCTTGTTCCTTATGCATGGGCAATCAGATTTCAAGTTTAATCACTCTTGTTTTCAGTTTGCTCATGCATCTTTAAGCTTATTCTTATTTTTCAATGCAATTTGTAAATCTTTAATGAGAACGTGAATTGTAGTGTTTTTAACTAGAGACTATTTACTCTGAGTTCTCACATTAGTACCACTCTTTTCTGTATAAATTCTTATAGATTATATATCCTAATGAAAGATAGTCTAGTGTTTGCAGTACTGGTAAACCCTGTAAGCGACAAATCACTATTGAATTATTCATTTCAAATTAAAATGAAAATTCAGCTTTTCTTTTTATTCAGATACTTGTTTTTATTAGTATATGTTTGCACTACAAAATGACACGATTCATCATGGGGAGTTGGTACATGTACATAATTCATCTTTCTTTTTGCAGCTTAAATATTCAGTAGTTTTGGAGGAGTAGAAATGAACCTCTAAGAAAGGTTAAAAAGGCAAGTCTGTTGTATTATTGTAGAAATGAACCTCTAGAGGTAGGACCATTGTATTATTGCTTTCTGTAGAGCTGGCTCTTACTTCTTTTATAATCCTGAAACTCTTAATGCAGCATCTCTCTGACTGACTGGCAAGAGCTGTTACGTGCCGTGTGCATCAGTGCCATTCATGTTTTCATTGACATTTGAAATCAGGCCTCCTGGTAACTGGCACCAGATCTGAGGCTGAATATCTGTTTAACTTCTGCAAAATAAATGCCATAACCACTGTTCTGTCCAAGTTTTGCAGTAAACCTGAGAGATGGAAGCTCAAAAAAATGGCAATTTTAGCATTTTGAAGGGTTATGGGAAAGTGAAAATGTCTGATTTGTGAAGATAGATTGACTTTTAGCCTACTTAAAGCTTCTCTGTGTAAGGACAGTATGTAAGAAAATGAATTCAGCCACTAGTTTTCTGTGAAGTGCTACTGCCACTTTCTCTGTGCTAACATTCTCAATAAGATTTTCATGTTTAATGACCAGAAAAATTTAAAACTTGATAATGTTTTCCACAATTTTTAAAGTAATTTGTTGGCCTGTCTCTGCTAAATAAAAATATACCCTTTACTAGTAATTTTTTATTGTAATACAATATCTGAGGCTAGATAACTTTATGAAGAAATTAGGTTGATATAAGTCATAGTTTTAGCAGTTCAAAGGCATGGCTCTGGCTTCTGCCTGACCCTAGTGAAGGTACCATGGTTGATGGCATCTTGATTCTATGAGTTTGAGTGAAAGAGAAATTCAGTTGACTAACAGGAAGTCAGGCAGGAGAGGAGGAACCAAATTTGTTTCCTCTGACAACCCTCACATGAAAAGTAACCAAAGTTTCCCACGACAGCTACCTTGGTTCCTTCCAAGGGCTGCACTCACAGCCAGAATTAATGACCTCCCACTAATTTATACCTCTTATGGACCCACCATCTCTCAGATTGGCACAGATTTTCAAGAAATCACTTTCAGCCATAACCAAACCAGAACCACCATATTGTAGCTTGTCTCTACCTAGGCAGCTCTGGGATCTATATATATATATATATATATATATATATATATATATATATATATATGTAATATATAGATCCCATATATATATATTGCATATGTAGTATATATGGGATCTATATATAATAAATATAATTTATATATAATATAATTTATATATATATATCATATAATATATAAATATGTAGATTATATATTTTACATATATATATAATATATATATTTTACCTTTTATTTGTAAAATGACAAACCATAGATGGTTTTATGTATTGAATTTTGCTGTGATTTTGTTATTTTATTGTTGTGGAACAATGATTTAAGAGAAGAACAATTCTACAAGTAATAATACATCTTATTTTTATGAAGGATAGAAAATTTTGCTTTTGTTTACTAATAGTAGAAAATATTGTGGTACCTCATTTATGAACATAGTTTATGATTTTGGGGAAGGTGGCTGCATTTGTGATTTTTGGGGAAGATAGATGGCTGCAGTTACATTTGTCACAGTATGGACTTTGAGAACAGAAACAAAATCTTACTGAAGGTTTTTATTTGTGAACCAAATTGTTTGCAAATAGAAGCATTGGTGAACTCTGCTATACAATGTTAATATATTTAATTAATGATATAATACCTTAATAGAATTGTTTAAGTTGCTAAGGCAATGTGGTGAGTAATGATATTGTGAGTTCTGTGCTAATAAGTTGAGACCTCCTATCACATAACCGACCATATATCTAAAACATTAATTATAAATGCATTCATTAGTAACATGTCCTTTTTTCTTGCTAATCTTCAAAGC